CAGATTCCAACTTATGTTTTGCAACTTTCATTAAACATAGAAAATTAACAGTGCATACTTTTGTTTAAGTTCTCTATATGTAATGAGGAGCATCTGAGCACCAATTTCATCTCTTGGATTATTATAACAATTATTGTATGATGTTTTTAATATTGTGCAGAGTTCTTATATTCAGAGCTCGAAAAAAGTCCCGTCCAGTAGTCCCGCACAAGTAGATCTTCTTGCTGGGCATAATACTTTTAACCCCTTAAGCCCCATGATCCACATACAAATTCTCCAGACTGATCTCCATACATTTCTTTTAAGAATAGTTGAGAGAATTTGGTTTAAGATCAAAGCCTTCTCCCCTTGGTAATCAATTTAGTAATTCTCACATGACCTTTACTCTTGATGATCTGCTGATGTTGTTAGGAGAAAATTGATGTTGGTCACTCTTGGGACCTAAATGATTTTAAAAGCTTTATTGCCCAATAAGCAAGTGTCCAGGCATGTCATCCTCTAACAAAATCATTAACCAAGATGAGCAAGAAGTTGCCCTGGGCAAGCAAAAAATGAGAGCTGCTAGTTTTTTTTTCTAGCCTTGTATATTAATATTTGCAATAACTGTGTTAGTCATTCCAAAATGATGTGGCTGATTTTTTCTGGTTATGTTGTTTATCTACAGAAGCTAAACAAAGTTGTTGTGATTGGAGGTGTGCCATACAAGACATCATCAAATAAACTTACAAAAACAAAAGCATCTTCAACCACAGCTGAACAAAGAAAGAAAACAAGTGCACCTGAATCTCTAAAAAGGGGTCAGTTTTTGTAATATTGAATTGTTGCACTTGCTGACAAAATTTTACTGATTGTGAATTTGTGGGTAGCCTTTGTCGTGGAGATAATTTGTACAGTTCTAGGTCCTAACAAGTAAGATTTTTGATTTATAACTCATCTAGACATAAATTAAATACAGTTGGCATTAAGGAAAGTTTTTGTCAACAGTGGCCTGGTGATGCCAATAGTAAAAACATAAGCCTTGAGTGAAACATTTCATTTTCACTATGACACATAAGGTATCTACACTCTTTACATATTTATAATTTATTATCTGCAAGCATAAGAAGACTTGTTGCCTTGATTGTATGTGTAATGCAAGAAATGCAATGGCTACTTGTTGGAACAATCAGGAAAAGTTTACCCCAGATGTGGCATTGACACTGAGAAACAAGTTTTCTTATTTGACTATTCATTTATGGACCTGCCCTCCTGTTTTGTTACACCGTCCAAATTGATCACAATTTTAATGATGCAAGTTTTTCGAAACAATTGTGAACAGTTGCAAAGATAGTGTGAAAAACCACAATCGTCATGCATTGTATTTTAGGAAAGATGTCAAAAACTGTCACTATTCAGGGTGAGAAGTTTGTGATGGACTCCAAAGGGAAGACACTTCACAGAGTCAACAAAGGTACAGTTGTGACTTTTCCTCAGTGACAAGGAATTCTGATAAAAGTGCTGTTCTCAATACTGCTTCTACAAGTACTTGCTTTTTGATTAGCAGTTTTTGTCAAGCAAATAGACATTGGTCCCATTTTTGTGCTTTATCAAAATAATTAAGTGTATCTGAAAGTTTTCTTGTTCACAGCAAAAAATTAATGTACCCTTTTGTTTAAATTTTTCTGCCTTTTAGTACCTAGAAGGTTGAGTATTTCAAAGCAGAACCAAGTTCTGACAGGAAGAAGGCGATCGAGTAATGGTCGCATGACTGTTCTATGTACATGGACTACATTAGTCAAGGCTAAGGCCAGCAATTCTCAAAACCAGACGCTTGCTAGGTATTGTGCATTACTAGTAGTAGTAGTAGTAGTAGTAGTAGTAGTAGTATCATTATTATTATCATTATTATTATTATTATTATTATTATTATTATTATTATTATTACTATTATTATTATTATTAAATAAAGTGATGATGATGATGACGATGTCAGTGATGCTAATGATGATGATGATGATGATGATAAAGATGATTATTATTATCATGATTTGTTAAGGCTAGCATAACAATAAAATATTATATTATTATGCTTGAGTCCAAAAATATTATCATTACTCACTACTGTGTTTATTGATGTTTTCAGACAATAAAATCAAGAATAGAGTTTTCAAATTAAAAACATAAAAAACAATACATTTTCATGTGTTGGTGATAGATGCCGTTTGATATATATTATGATGAATGCATTGTTAAGTGGTTGTTGACATACAGTATTATTTTTTGCCATATTTCAAATTATCACTGTGGAAAATTCGAACATGATGAGGCAAGCAAGTTCTTAGAAGCTAATAAGGCTTATGAAAAGGACTAAAACAGCTACTAGTAAACTTATTTATTTAGCAAGGAAAAAATAATTGAAGTAGAGACTGTTAAAAGTCTAATGATAAGTCTGTTAAAACAGCAAGTTGCCATGGAAAAACAACAACCTTAGACTTTTTTTGCATTTATAATTTCAGTCGTGTGTTACGGCGCAGCATTCACAATGCCAGGCTCTTTCATAAGAACAAAAAGAAGCCAGCCTCCGAGCAATACTGCATGTTCTACAACAGATTTGGTAAGATTGTGTTTTTTTATGTGAATTCACTATGAAAAATTCAATTTCTGGAATGAAAGATCTAGCAATGGGGCTAGGAATATCATTTAATAACAAATTTTGTATTCTTGAGATCCTGTTTTATACATTTTACTCAAACAGGAATGAAAAAACAATGTCATTCTTTGTACAGAAGTTTGTTTTTGTTCTATAGAGTTTGTTATATCGTGGTTGTACTGTAAGAGATTGTACACCGAGTTAGGCTATATTTCGCAGAAAAAAGGAAACCTAAAATGTTTGGATGCAAAAATGTGATCAAGAGAGGAAACAGTAAAATTCTCAATTTCATTATACAGCATTAAATTGCATCTAAAATTTTTGGGAAAATAATAACAAAGCCCTTGTAATTTCGAGAAGACTCACCTTCCCCTCAGATGACCAAACAGATAAAAATTTTATAGCGTCGCTTAGAATACGTTTCTAGAGATCTGGATAGCCTAAAAAGTATTTGCAATGTATTTAGGATGAAACCGTCGTTTAGTGCCCCTGTTTTTAGGCAGTCACTTGTCATCCATTGTTGCTTACAAGAAGTTGTCACACATGGAGGTGCAACTGTAAAAATAACATACATACATGTGACTGCTTTTTGCTTTTGTTATGGAACTTGGCTAGGTGATGATTTTGTGTAAAAAAAAAAACCATTTTTAAAATAGATCACAACTTTCTTTTTTTATGTCAGGAAAATGTAACAAGCAGGATACTTGCCCTTACATTCATGATCCTTCAAAAGTTGCAGTATGTACAAAGTAAGTTTGAGTTGTGTTGTTTTCAGTAGCCTGTTAGCAGGCGCCCGGAAGTACTGGGCAAAGAACGGGCGCGCGAGAAGGAGACAAGACACGCGTGTCTCCCTGGGCGGCACGTGCCCGTTCTCTCTTTCACCCACTTCTTCCAAGCGCCTGCTACGCAGGCTATGTTTTCAGTTGCCCTATAGATTCTGTTACGCTGGGCTTTACATTTTGCTGACAGGGTCACTATCCCTTGGGGATTGAAACATTAATTAATATCCTCTGACAATCTCTGGGTAGTGTCTAAACGGTTGAACTCAGCTGTCACATCATGGCACAAGCCTGTGTAGAAATGGTGAAGTAACATTTATGTACAGCGAAAGAATTATCCTTCACAGATACCTTCTCGTAAAGGAGGAGGGGGCACCAATGAAGAGAAAAAAGGAAGAAGAGGACCGCGAGTGAATTTTCTTTGACAGTTCCGACAAAACCCCCAGCTATGTAGGCTAACAGTGTACTATAGTGTCTACCACTTTTGTGTAAATTGTGAACTTTTTATTTCATCACATTTCTTGATCATTTGTAGATTCCTACGAGGGCGCTGTAAAAATTTAGATGGGTCTTGTCCATTCTCGCACAAGATTGATCGAGACAAGGTTAGTGTTCTACCCCCTTCCACAGCAAGTGATTTGTTGTAGAGTTCTTAACTGTAGCTTGGGCGCACGTTAAAAGCCAACAGTCGTTTGGACAGGGGGAACTTATGCTACCTGTACTTTACAAATAAAGAAGCCTTGACTGTGCTCTTTTCTATCGTAAAGCACGCAGAAAGTGACTCGAGTACGAAAGAAGTGTAGAGGGAGACACGAGACGTAATCGAGTGTTTCTTCCGTCTGCTTGAGTGCTCTAGCTGCTGCGTAAGTGCTTTACAACAGAACAGAGCACAGTCAAGGCTTCGTTATTTGTTTTATCATAAAGAATCCACTAAATTCCCAAAGCATTACTTTCTAATTTTCAAAACGTCGCGTGACAGCCACAGCTCCGTGTTTTAAACTCTCATAAAGAACGATTTTTCAACTACTCAGAGTGCGCGTTTTGTCTGAACTTTATTATAATATTGGATTATTGGATTTGTGGCATCTATTGTGACTGGCAAAAGTTTGAGACAGTTACTTGAGTTTTGCATCTTGCACTGCAACAAACGCAACCATAAAAAATTTATGTTTTTTGATTGGCTAACGAAATACCAAAGTCCTGGTCGAAATATGCTGGGTGGCGGTGGGTGGCCCTTGTTAAGTTCGTATTGGCTGAAGTAACTCTTTACAAAATAATGTTTTTCTTTTTCCTCAGATGCCTGTTTGCCAGTTCTTTCTTCGAGGAACATGTTCCAATGATAATTGCCCTTATTCTCATGTGAATGTCAGCAAGAAAGCTGAAGTCTGTGAAGATTTTCTGAAAGGATTTTGCGCTCTTGGTCAACAGGTAAACATCAATATATGTCGTGTAAGTAAAGGGAAGACTGTAATGGTAAACGACACGATTGACCATTGAAGTTTAAGTGAAGTGAAGTCTAATTTAGTCGGTAACAACTTTAGTAACACCTTATTGGCATGCACCTATCACGAAATACGTGCTTATATTTAAGTATGTATTTTATGCGTATCCACAGATTTTTATGCCTTGCTTCAAAGTGGCAGGGTTTCAGACCCAGAGTGTCAGTCTGGTTTGTGTTAGTCCCTTTGCAGCTAATCAGTCACGTGGTACAAAAATCGCTATGCTGGAGAGCAACAGACGCACTAGGGCACTGAAGACAAACAAAGGACATTACCATTTTATATGATGTGAGCTGTTTGTTTCTCTTGTCTCAATGCTTCTCTTGCTCTACGCCAAGGAGGTTTTGTACCACGTAAAAGTCTAGTTGCAAAGTGCCTACTGTGTTTAGCCGAATAAGCGCCGCCCCCGATTAAGCGCCGCCCTTGAATAACCGCCGCATTTGGGACAAAAAAAGTTAATAAGACGTTAATTCTGTTAGTTTAATACGGAAAATATTATTAATACCGTAGTTAAAACGGATCTTTGTCGCGTCCAACTTTCAAATAAACGCCGCCCTCGGATAAGCGCCGCATTTGAGGCCAGGTCCAGGTCCTCTCTATGTTCTCGTACACTAGACCAGCCGATCTGTCGGACGGTGTACTTCTTGATAATGGATAGTCCTTTTTGTTTCTTAGTGTAACAAAAAACATATTCTTGAGTGTGAAGAATTTGCTCGAACTGGCGAATGTTCAAAGGGATCAAAGTGTAAATTGATGCACAGGACGAGAAAATCTGCACTTCGTAAACGAAAAACTTCAACGAAAGAAGAAAATACCGCGAAGGTATCCAAACTGGATTTTACGAACGATGACGGTTTCTTGCCGCTGACCGCAAGCATCTCAGGTTTGTTAAATCACCGCAGGCCATGAGTTGAATTGCATTTGGGTGAAGCGTCCGTTTCAGATTTCCTTGAGGGACAAGTGACATTAATTTTGAGGGCTATATGTTACTTGTCAGTTTTATTGGGAACTAAAAGGCCCTACTATAATAGATTCAAAAACCAGCTATGGGAGAAGAGAAGTAACTGCCTGGAAACGACAGCGCAAACGGGTCACTAGTAGCTATGCAAGGCGCTCCCATTCAGTAAAATATAAAATGAAATTTGCTTACAACTGCTAAAAACTGAATAATGTCATTCAAGTCAGCATGATATTGGCCTAGGAGCAGACTCCGGATTTCGCTCATCTCTCGACTTCGCCGCTCGTGCGAAACCTGCACCACTACGCTGCTGAAATCCTCACTGCCTCGCGTGCGCAAATCTCTCTCTACTCAGCTCGCTCGTAATTGCTCCCAGGCTAGTATAGGCAGCGTAGTAATGAGGCTTCTTTCCTGTCGCTGAAGTTGTTTTGTGTTGTAGATTCGGGTCTGTCTTCAGCTCAGGAGCCGTTGGATAATACAACAACAGATGAAACAAAACAGATGGCTGGTGAGAATTACCACATACAGTCTGTACTGAGGCCTTTAAATGACTTTGTTATCGGTGGAAGGACCGAATATGCATGTCATTATTTTACACATACCTCAGGGGCGGGTCGCTTCAATCGCTTATTTCATAAGCGGCATAATTCTAGGGCACCTATTCCATGGTTTTATAATCTCATTTCACCAGTTACTTGTCTAACACCGAACCTTTGAGTTTATCCAATTTGCGGATAATCAGCGTTGACTTCAACTGTTTTCAAAGAATTTCGTTTAGATATACTGGTTATTCGATAATTAATATTTGATAGGGTGCTTAACCCCTCAAGTCCCAATAGTGATCAACATCAATTTTCTCCTAACAATATCCATATGTTGCCAAGAAAAATAGTTGTGAGAGTTATTAAATTATCAGTAAAGAGAAAATGCTTTGATCGGTTTTGAAGTTCTCTCAACTAATTCTTAAAGGAAATGTTTACAAATCAGTTTGGGGTATTTGTATGTGGAAATAAAACTGATTAACTTAACAAGACCTCCAAATGAAAATGTCAGTTATAATAGCATTGAAACTCCAGACCAATTTCGATACATTAAAGTTCATACTTGGCGAGGAGAAATAGGGGAATAAAGCAAAAGAACTATATTATTCACTGCTGAGCCTTTTGGTTTTTTTTCACCTAAGCCTCGTAGCCAAGTATGAATTTTAACGAGGAGCCATAATCAGCCATTCGCCACTTCCACATTTTTGATAATACACCTTATTTGCCCCCCAAAATTTTGTTTAAGCATTGTTTTCAATCTCTCTTGGGATGGCTTACCCTGGGTGCCAGAGGGTTTTTTTTCCCGCTCGTCACGATCGCGGCTTCGCCGCTTAATTTTCGCCGCAAACAACAGGAAAAAAACCTTCTGGCACCATGGGTAGGGATGACTGTAATAACCAGGAGAAATGAAAAACAAAAGCTATGCACAATTTTGGGGTCAAATAAGGTGCATTATGCGAGATGTGGAAGTGGCGTATACACCGATTATGGCCTTTTCCCATTTTGTAGAAAGTTTTAGAAATAAAGCGACAAAACACGAACGTTGGTGGCATGATGTAAAGCTTGTTATTTCTACTTGATTAGCGAGACAATTACTTTTATAAATAAAAATCCTCGACCTCACCCTTCATAATCATATATTATTTGTTCTCGTTAGAGCCGCTGGTGATACGCCCGAGATTCTTGAAGACTAAGGAATCAGAGAAGTGATGGCATACAGCTACAGCTGTGGATTTAATAGGTAGGCTTGGTCTCAGGAGGGTCTTCATTGTACCTCCCTGTCTCTGGGCCTTTAAGGTGGAGAATTTGCCACCAAGAGGTGTTTTTTTTTCGTTTCGTTTTTGCTTTCTTTCTTTCTTTCTTTTTCATTCTTCTTCTTTTTCTTATTGTGATGTACCATTGTGTAGGACTGCAGAGTTATCATGAGTTGTGGAGAGCTTGAAAAGCAACCGAACAGTTAATGCACATGCGTTACTGTCACGTTAAATTGTGAACCCTTTGTCACGAAAACACTACCGTAACGCTGCGTAACAAGGTATAATTTAATTATTTTATGTTAGTGGTATCGTTTATTTCTACATTATGTACAGCACAAATTATCTGCAGCTGGACTGTAAAAAATATTATTGCAGAAATTTAATAAAGTTACAATTAAAGTAAGAGAGCAAATTTGTGTTTATTTTTTGTAGGTAATCTGTATTATAGTAAGGGGGCGCCCTGGCGGCGAAAAAGGAGGGAGAGCTCTCCTTCCTATTTTGCCCCGTCTCCAAAGCGTCCCGGAAAGCGATACAGAATATTTTAAACTCCCATTCTGCGTCCTAAGTCGAATTTGACCAAAGATTCATTTACATTTTTTGTAAGTACCAGATATGTTAAATAAAAACTGTGAAACTTTTAACTTCACATGTACCTAATCTACTGCTTATGAGCGAGAACAATAGAGTTTTGCTCAGCATTAGGTTCAGCGCATGTGAAGTTCGACGTTTGACCCAGGTCTAAACGTGCCAGACATTTTCATAGAAATACAAGATTATAGACATCCATTCGATTCACTCTCTTCTCCCATCAAAGTAAAGTAAAACCACAGTGAAACCTGTTTTAGGCGGACACCCGTAGGACCTTCGCTGGTGTCCGCTTAGTGGAGGTGTCTCCTAAATACGGGCTTAGTCTCCCAGGGGGACGTTCTTGGCGCTTGCTAGGAACGCGTGACGAAACCTTAAGAACGTTCCCGTTGGAGGCTAAGTACGGGTTCGTTTTACTCAAAATATGGGAAGTCGCCCTCTTTTTTTTTTTGGGGTGGAGAGAAGCGACGACCTGGAATATACGTTTGGGTTCGCAGGTTATGTAAGGAGATGCACGTCTGATTTTTCCCGTTCCATTCCGAACGCCTTATGTGCCCCTGGGGAAGGGGTGTGCGGGGTCGTGATTTTGGTATTATTGATCCAGAACGGGGTATCTATATACGCCACGTTCCTCAGAGCAGAGCGAGAGAGCGACCCGACCCAAACCCTGCCCGAGTCCTGCCCCTGGTCTTCCAGGCTTGCAAACTTAAACGCTCATTGATAATGACTATCTGTGCATCCTGGGTCATGATCTTGGCTAATTCCACTGTTTTTGTTTGGGGTGGTAGTGATGGTAGAGACCTGGGTACTTGATTCGCTCTACTTCAAGCGACGCCATTAACACGCGGTCGAGTAGATCCCAGTCTTCTCCTCCCCACTTGTCTGTGTAGTCGTTAGTGTTCATTCCTA